CCCCTTCCGTCTTCTTTATTTTCTCCTGCTTCACATCCTGACAGTATGAGGAAATCCAGCAGTCAAGCTTTACTGGCTTCTTAGGAGGACAAAAGAGAGAGTGATGAGAGAGTTCGGGAGCTCTATGGAGCAGGGGTGGAATTCTAGGCACAGAAAATGCAGGCACGACCATAGGAGCATGTCCAAAAGTATATGTCCATATCCTCACAGGTCTCAGCTCCACAAAGTTATCCGTTCTAGTGGTCTTAAAGTTTTGATTTGATACGTTAACTTCAAGTTGTATCTGTTTTGCAAGGGTTTATTTTAAAGCCAATATTTTGTCACTTCTTGAAGACTTCATTCATATAGAGATACATTTCATCATTCCCTTTATTCCTCCACCACCCAGTGTCTTACCGGGCAGTCAGTTTTTCCTCTGAACAATTGTGCTTGTTTACATGATGGGTATGCATCTGGATTCTTAGCAACTAGCATAGGTTTTAGTAATCTCCCCTCAGATCAAGCCTCTAAGTCAGCCCCCGTGCAGATTTTTCTGAGGGGGCTGCTGCTGAATTCCTTCGACCACATTCATTTATCAGTGCCATGATGGGCTGAGTTCCTAAGGGACTCTGCAAAACCCTCCCCCACCACAACAGAGGGACTTCTCACACTGGGAAGCACAAGAGAATTCCAGTCAGTGCCATTTGTACACTTTGGGGGTCTTCACCTGCAGGAGGTCAGGGCAGAATTTGTGGAGGGATTATTTTGTTTTATCCTTTGTCAGTGCAAAAAAAGTGTCCTACTCCATGGTCCAACCACAAGGGAAGTGGGTTGGGTGCCTAGGAAAGAAAGGGCACCTTACCTCTGGAACAGATTCTACTTACCTGATGCCTTATGTATATGTGTGTGTGTGTGAGAGAGAGGGAGGGATGGAGAGAGGAAGGGATGGAGAGGGAAAGGGAGAGGGATAATATTGGAATGCAATTTCCATCAGTTCTGGGATAATGGGATCCCCAGCACAACAACCTCTAGATCAGCAGTTCTTAACCTTTTGTTTACCATGGACTTCCTTTAAATATCATTTGTTGCCACAGACTACTAATATCTAGCTCAATATTTAAAATCCCAAAGTGCATCAAATATTTATTTAAAGTTTCTCAGGAAGGGTCTCAGCGACATATTTCTTGCTATAATGGTGACACTTTTTTAGATGACTGGAAGAAGTTTCATTTTGCTTTAAACAGAATGCACCCTCATCAACAGCATCAGTTCTTTTACATTTCAATGAGCCAGTGATCCATTCTGAGGCTCAGCCAAAATGTATTGATATGAAATTCACTGTGATAATATAGAAAAGTCACTTTACCCGACAATAACCAAATGGTTTTATTAGCAGAAATTGAAGAAGAAACACACGATCATCTTCAGAGGACAGGAATTCTGACTACTGTCCTCTGAAGATGCCGGCTGCGGAGACTGCCGCAACATTAGGAAGAAAAACCTTAAGAACACAACCAAACAGCCCAGAAAACCCACAACAATCACATGATCATTAAGTCCGACTGAACACTCACTCACACTGACACTGACTGACTCCAACTCTCTTTCTATGGCTTCTGACTGTCTGTGCAGTATTAAGAAATGTCATGTGCTGACTCTCAGCCACTCAGTGTCATTTACTTCATGTTCTCGCTGTGTCCAGAAATATCAAACAGTTATTTTCATAACTCATTCTTACTTTGTTTTGTTTGTTTGTTTTTAATAGAGGCAGTAGGTTAGAAAAGCCAAGTTTTACACGAACAACCAAGGGAAATTGCAATTAAATCTTTCTTTCTTTCTTTCTTTCTTTCTTTCTTTCTTTCTTTCTTTCTTTCTTTCTTTCTTTCTTTCTTTCTTTCTTTCTTTCTTTCTTTCTTTCTTTCTTTCTTTCTTTCTTTCTTT